ATGGCACTTCTGCAAAAAAGTCCAAACCTTAAAGGCAAAAGCAGCCTTGTCAAGATTACACAGAACTGCTTGTACATTTTATTTCATTTTTAACTTGACAGGTGAAATTGAGTTTATGATGGCAGAAAGTGCAACCTGGAGTTCAAACAATTTAGGGTGCTTAGCTATAACTTGTCCTTGCAAATATGTCTCATCAGTCAGAATTGAACAAGAAAATAAGCGATTGGACAAGATAATTTAAGCATCAACTAAGAAAAAATAAAAACAAACATTTTTCTCTCATGCACTCTTCAATTTCCAGAAGGCTGGTAAATTAGTGAGGTATTTCTTAAAGGTATTAGAATTATGAGTAGAATCATCACTGACATCCACATTAGTAACATGTCATATTTTCATCTTACTCTACTCTCTGATATTATAATATTTTTTAAAAGAGTTTCAGAATAAAAGATGAAACAATTTAGCTACATATTCTCTCTATGCAGTCACATTAGAAAATATTGAGAATTTTCACCATGTGAAAACCATTGTCCCATCAAACAATAGCTATTTAAAGCATCTAAAATGTCTATCACCATGTCTAATGCTTAATATCAAATTTATCTATTCAAGTTAATAACTTCTCAACATTATATAATTATTATCATTAGCATGACTGGTATTATTTAATTTCAAAGATAGTTCCCAGGTCCTTAAGAATGACAAGGCATGAGACTGGGAGAAGTTTTACACGTGTGAATGGCAGGGAATTTACAACTACAATTTACAGAGTGTTCTAACTAAATGCTCTAACAAAAGAGAGGTCAGAGGCCCATGTTCAGAAAGAAATCTGCCTATAGTTTAGTCAAGATGGAAAAGATATCAAGGACCATCTTAATCACCACTAGATTGTGAGATCTGTGAGCAAAAAAGAAACTATTTCACTTCTAAACCTAAGTGCCTAATAAAGTTCCTGATTATAGGTCCTTAATCACATTTTGGTAAATGAGCATATGAATGACTATGCTAGAATACTAGAATACTTATCTGTGTTAGAATACTTATCTGTGTTATTTAGGATATTTAATATCTCTAGGCCTCAGTGTCCTGTAAATTTGGAGTAATATTCTCCATCTTATAGGTTATTGTCAAGGGTAAATCAGATTACGTATGGAAAGGCACCAAGAATATTGTTTCAGTAACTAGAATGTTTCTCTCCTCAGGTACCATGTTTCAGAAACTATGCCTCAACAAAACTCTTAAAATGATATACTATTTTAATTGTCTTTTCTTTTTCCTTTGCTTTGACTGGTAGGAAACTCTTTAGTGTTATCCAAACAGGAATGCTATTACACATATATTTGTATTTAACCGAAGTATTCTTTTTCCCAGGTTTGTTGAGGTATAATTGACATAGAACATTGAGCAAGTTTAAGGCATCAGTCAGTCACTCAGTCGTGTCCGACTCTTTGCGACCTCATGAACTGCAGCACGCCAGGCCTCCCTGTCCATCACCAACTCCCGGAGTTTACTCAAACTCATGTCCATCGAGTCGGTGATGCCATCCAGCCATCTCATCCTCTGTCGTCCCCTTCTCCTCCTGCCCCCAACCCCTCCCAGCTTCAGGGTCTTTTCCAATGAGTCAACTCTTCGCATGAGGTGGCCAAAGTACTGGAGTTTCGGCTTCAGCATCAGTCCTTCCAGTGAACACCCAGGACTGATCTCCTTTAGAAGGGACTGGTGTACAAGATATTAATTTGACAGACTTACATACCACGAGGTTATTACCACTGTAGAGTTAGTTAACAGGTCCTTCACGACACGTAACCATCACTTCCTAAGGTGTCTGTCATCAGCTGAATGGATAAAGAAGATGTGCTGTGTATATATAATGGAGTATTATTCAGCATGACAAAGAAGGAAATCTCGTCATTTATGAAAACGTGACAGACCTTGAGAGCATTATGCTAAGTGAAATAAGTCAGAGAAAGACAAATCCTACGTGGTGTCACTTATATGTGGAATCTGAAAAAGCCAAACTCATAGAAACAGTAAAATGGTGGCTAGCTGGGACTGGAGGTGAAGGAAACGGTGAGGTGTCAGTCAAAGGACACAGACTTTCAATTGTAAGATCAGTAAGTTGTGGACATCTAGCAACATGCTCTTAAAAATGATCAGCCCTCTTTCTAAATTCCATATATATGTGTTAGTATACTGCATTGGTGTTTATCTTTCTGGTTTACTTCATTCTGTATAATGGCTCCAGTTTCATCCATCTCATTAGAACTGATTCAAATGAATTCTTTTTAATGGCTGAGTAATATTCCATGGTGTGTATGTACCACAGCTTCCTTATCCATTCATCTATAGAACAGACTTTTGGACTCTGTGGGGGGAGGCGAGGGTGGGATGTTTTGAGAGAACAGCATTGAAACATGTATATAATCAAGTGTGAAACAGATCACCAGCCCAGGTTGGATGCATGAGACAAGTGCTCAGGGCTGGTGCACTAGGAAGACCCAGAGGGATGGGGTGGGGAGGGAGGTGGGAGGGGGGATCAGGATGGGGAACACATGTAAATCCATGGCTGATTCATGTCAATGTATGGCAAAACCACTACAATATTGTAAAGTAATTAGCCTCCAACCTATAAAAATAAATGGAAAAAAAAAGATCAACCCTAAGAGATAACAGGGATTACATATGACAAATGTGTATGAATGTAGCATAACCTTAAACTTGAGATTTTTCAAAAAGTTTGGCTAAGGTGCCATCATATCTCTTCACAATGAAGATTATATGCACTGCTATGTCAGGAAAGTTTTGAGGTGAAATTTATCCCTTGAATTTGATGATAGCCAATAGGTTGTCTTTAAAAATCCCTAGACTCAATGCCATAGTTGAGTCTAACACCAGTAATATCAACTAAAGCATAAATCATTATAACTTTAGCAATCTGCAACTGTGGGACAAAAGAGGCTACTTTTGTTCTGACTGCTCTGGCAGTGGTCTCCTGGTCTTCTCTGGCTAGCAGAGGGAGATAAACAGCAGTGTTGCTCTGGTTAGACAATGCTTGGTCTCCATCTAGACATTCACATGAAGTAGGTCTCCACTTTGCATTTCAGAACTTGAGTTGAAACTCACTGTGTTCCGTCAGGCTGTGTTGGACAGGAACCAGCCCTATCTGATAAGCCAATCATGCTAGGTCAGTACCCCTGCCCTGTGCATAATGGGTGTGAGGACAAATGCCTAATCTATCCTGAAAACCACGAATGACAAGCCCTCCTCAATGTGTTCTTTCAATTTTCTTAACAAAAGAAAAGTTATGAAGGACCATTAAATTGATATTTGGGGAATATAAAATTACTTGCCTGTTGTATGGTGGTTAGATACCATATTACCATCTGACTTAGCAATTCTACTTTTAGTTATATACTCAAAAGGGATGAAAGTAGGAGCCCCCCAAAAAATGGTTGCTTACCAAAGTTCGTAGTAGGATTATTCACAACAGCCAGGAGATGGAAACAATTCATATTCTATCAACAAATGAACAAACAAAAATCCACACACACATATACACCTACACACACGAGTGGAGATTTATTCAGGCATAAAAAGGGATTGAAATTCTGATATGTGCTAGAACATAGATAAGCCTTGAAGAATTATACCAGGTAAAATAAGCCAAACAAAAAAGGACAAAGAGTATATGATTCCACTTATATGTGGCACCTAGAATAGACAAATTCACAGCTATAGCAAGTAGAATAGTGGTCACTGAGGCTTCGTGAAGGGGCAGGGGAGCGAGGGAATGAGGAAATATTGTTTATGGACACAGAGTTTCTGTTTGAGATGATAAAAAATTTTTGGAAATGATTAATTGCACAACATTTCCATTGAATCTTGACATTTAAAATGGACTTAAATGATTAGAAATGTAAATTTAGTTATGCATATTTTATAACAGTAAAATAAATGAACAAATATTAAAAATGATTACTCCCCTGTAATACCAATACTCCATTTAGCGTAACATTACATTTCTTCCAGGCTGAGGATGGTTGCATGGTGACGAAAAACAACTCCAGATGTGGATTCAGAAGTCTTTCCCTCCAGTCTTATCCCTGTCACTTACTAGATATAAAATTTGAGCTAGCCACTGAGGTCCCTTGCACTTTAATTTTTTCCAGTTACAGTAACCAATAGAGCTGTTTTGAGAGCTTAAAATTATTAATAAAAGGTAATAATGCATATTAAGTGTTTTGTAAACTCTAAGAATTATATAAGTAGATGGGGGAAATTTTATTATACATTCATTTAAGGAGTTTAGTAATAATCTTATCCCTGAAATGTACTTATTAACTCTTCTTTAAGTGCCCTACAATATTGTCATTGTTGGTAAGACTCAAAGTTTCTTTTTTGTTAATTTTTCTCTACATAAGTTACTGAATAGCAAGGATTTTAAAATAAAAAGAAAATGCTGAATTTCTGAGGAAACCACATTTGTATTTACTTTTCTTTTTTTTTCCATTTATTTTTATTAGTTGGAGGCTAATTACTTTACAACATTGCAGTGGTTTTTGTCGTACATTGAAATGAATTAGCCATGGATTTACTTACATTAAACTTTTCCATTTATATTATTTGTATACCATCTGTTTATTGTTTATTTAGCCTCATTATACATACCTTAGGAAGAAGGCATAGCTATATTATATCTTGTCTGAGGAAAAATGGTTCTAAAGTAAGTATTACAAGTATTTAAAAACATTAATTTTGCTACCTGTTCTCATCTTCATTCCAAACCACTCAATCCATTATCAGTGTTTACGTTACCAAACATATAATAAGAGTTTGACATGGTATTATATCCAGTTGCACATTATCTTGTAAAGCCTTTGGATACATAATTACATTGGAAAATAAATATGTAAGAGCAACATAGATGTGTGGCCCTCACAGTACAGATGAACACCGAGACGCTGTGATGTCGACAACTAATTTCTTGCTTCCCTCCCCAGCGGCTATGTGTTTGACTATGATTACTACAGAGATGATTTCTACAGTCGGTACGTAAACTCCCCATCCTTGTTTCCCTTTGGCTTAAACTATCTTGTAACTCTCCTGTACATTTCAATCACAGATATTATTGATTAATACATCTAAATAATATTTTACAGTAAAAAAAAGTAAGTCCCAATAAAATATAAGAGGGACAGAGTTTCCTCTTTTGATTGTACCTACTTCGGTATAGTAGATCTTGGGTTTTTAGACTTTGGTGGTACTTAAACCTAAAATTTGGTTTCTGATGTTTGGATGATAACCAATGTTATTTTCCAGATCTTGAAATTGGAATTCTTAACTTGGACTTCTTTAAGACTGAGAGATTTATAAATTCAGACAACGAGTCCAACCTTCTAAAATGCATCCACTTTCATACAACACAAAAATTCAGTAAAAATTTGGACAAGTCTTGCTCTGCATGGTAGTGTGGGACCATAAAAGGAAACCATGCAGAGTGATGTTCATAATCAATGTGGGAAATAGGATTTTCCATGACCTTTAAAAAATTTTTGTCAAAATGTTAAAAAGTCTATGTGATAAATATATTATGCATGTATACATATATAGAAATTCCTCATGCATACATATAGGAAAATACAGTGAAACAGTTATTTAGTATACTAATTTAAAATTTGAACATTGTAATGTAAAAATACTAAGAGCTAGTGTGTTTTGTCTCCTGTAAAAATGACTCACTGAACATGATGTGAATAGCACTAGCCTTCTTCTTTTACTGTGATATGGGGCAAGCACCTCTTTTACCCCTCGGTGGATTGTTATACTACTAATACCGGGTCAGCTTTGACACTTTATCAGTGTTGTGAACTACCCCTGAGATTTCCTCAGGATGATTCCTTTTCTTTGCCAGTTTCACTTCCTCTGGAACATCTTCCTCCCTTCCCAGCACATCACAACCACGTTCCTTATTTGTGTCATATGTTTTATTTTACTAACTTCCTGTCTCCATCTCTAGAGTCTCTTAAGTGGGAGAGTGTCCACATCCCTACAATCAGCTATTTCTCCTATAATTCCATTTATGTTTAATTTTAATTTTATCCCCAGTTTCACTGGACCGTACACACACATATGAAAACAAAGTAAATGTTGTTTAAAGTTCTATTCAAACAAACAAACAAATATCCCAAGGCATAAAAACGGAAAGTTAGAAAAACAGAACAGACATTTTACGCAGGGAAGAAGCTCCGTGATCCCTTGTAAGGGTCTCATTCTCTTTGCTCGGCCGCGCGGGTCCTCTTCCAGGCCCCGGAGAGCCCCATGTCCCTTCCCGTCTGGGGCCCTTCCTCTCCTCGCTTCTTCTTCTCCTGCCTCTCTGCACCATCTAGTGAAGGACTCCATTCTTCAGGTCTCGGTGTGGACTCCTCTCTCAGACTAAATGAGGCTCTTCTGTTCCCCCTCCACACCTGTTACTGTTCCTTCACAGTACTGCTCCTCGTTTATCTTGCTAAGTTTCTCTCTGCAGTGGCAATATTTGGTTTATTTCTGCGTGCCTCCCTTCCTCCCAGAGGGCAGGAAAGATGCTCAGCTCTGCTTATTGTATCCTCAGGCACTATCATTAAGTCTCACACATACTGGAAACTCAACTTAGGTTATTAATTCAACTCCTTAGATGTAGAGACATTTTGCTTTCTCCAAGGTCACATAGTTAATTAGTGGCAGAATTACAATCATAAACTAGGTCTCCATTTATGTTCAGTAACCAGCTGTGCAGATACGCAAAACAGAAGGGTAGCAATATTGGCCTATGGTTTTACATAAAAGGAAGCAGCCTTTTCTACACAAAACCAAATCCACAGCCATACCTTTAGCACCACTGTGTTCAAAGCTAAGCAAGTGATTCCTATAGTCACCCTTTTATGACCAAATATAAATTTTTAAGGATGACTTTCTCAAATAATTTTTACAATGTATATAAAATATAATATTTAATTTTAAATATTTAATAGCTTGTAATAACCCATCCTAACAATAATCTGAAGATTCTGCAGCATTAAAATAATCCCATTTACTATGATAAAAAAAAAAAGGATAGCATTTAAGTAGTCTTTCGATTATTTGAATATTTCAGTTTTTGACAATTTCAAAACATTTTCTAGTACTCTTTTGTGTTTCAGGATGCAGAACACTGTCTTCATTTTTATGAATAAAGTTGCCAACTAATATATTTTAGACTGTCAATATGAAACTATCTTCACATTGTTACCTCTTACGTATTTTCTATCATGTGACTTTCTTATACATTTAAAAAATTTCTACTTAAAATGGAGTCGATGGTAGGAGACCCAAATTCTGGTAATCAACCTGTAAACTTTGGGCAACTAGTCAGGTTTACAGTTTTCTCAGTGACCCAGGTAGCACCAGTGGTAAACAGCCTGCCTGCCAATGCAGGAGACATAAGATCCCTAGGCGGGGAAGATCCCCTGGCGGGGGCATGGCAACTCACTCCAGTATTCTTGAGGACTCTGGCAGGCTACACTCCACAGGGTCACAAAAAGCCAGACACTAACTGAAGTGACTTAGCACTCACCCAATATTTGCATCTTACTATGCATATATTATAGCTCAAAAAATTGTAAGATATATAAGTAGATAGATGATAGATAAATATATTTTACAAGCAAATGAACAAGAACCTTAATCAGCTAGTAATTACAGAGCCTGAAGCTTTCAGATGGTTCTCCGTCACACACAAAAAAGCTGAATAATTTCCAAAATCATTTGTTCATCTTATACAAAACCTGTTTGGTTTGTAGGTGGTTTATAGGTGTCTATTGGTTTATAGATCAGTATGGGTGTGCTGCTAACAGACTGTCTGAGCAGTCTGTGCTCCCAATGGTTTACTTTTCACCTTCTGCGTTTGGCAGAGAGAGAAGCATCTGTCGTGGTAGATGCAGTCAGAAGTCCCCTGTGAACACAGATTCCCCAGGAAGGAGAAAGACTGGAGGGGCTGGACAAGAGGAAGGCCCTGACAGGCCTGTGCCAGCAGTTTTACCCACAGTAATTCCTCCTTAGTTGCATTCTGCTTGTGTTTATCGTTAAATTTTTGCTCCTTTTACTAACGGCACAAGCATGGGCAATGTATTTAATGCCACCAAAGCCTGTCCCATCGATGAAGTGAATATGAAATTAATGCCTACCCCATAATATCGTTCTGAGGATTAAATGCAGTAGCATATTTTTATGACCTGCATTATGCCTGGTGTGTTTTTGGTGCTTAATCAATGTTAGCTACTGGTAGCCTACAGTAACCATTAATGGTGATAGAGAACATGTTATACTGATAGTCAAGTAGCAGTGTCCCTGTGACTGAGGAATACACTGACTGGTCAGTCGTCCTTCCATAAGAAGTCCGTTGTGACACCTCTGGATTATTCTTTTTGTTTGGTTGTCCCTCCTCCTGCCCCCTAGAGCATTCCAGCTGCAGCTGAACACTCTTATCAACACTCAGCTATTTCCATTCCCTGCACGCTGCTTGGTTTTCCATCAGGAACACAGAAACATATAGTTATGCTGAACAAGGAGAATTGCTTGTAAAAAACTTTCTAACTGTGTATTAAAGAACCAAAAAGGCAAAAGCAAAGAAACAACTCAAAACCCACAGTGGTATGATGGAGTCAGCAAACTACCTCTGCCTCTGCCACCTCTCGGGCTGGAAAACAGGAAAAGTTAGGATTATCAAGTACCAGTCTGGAAAAGGAGACTTACAGAGCTCCCGTGGAGAGTTGCTCATTGCGACCCCACGGACTGTAGCCCTCCCGGCTCCTCTGGCCGTGGAATTCTCTAGGCAAGAATACTGGCGTGGGTAGCCATTCCCTTTTCCAGGGGGTCCTCCTAACCCAGGGATCAAACCTGGGTCTCTCACACTGCAGGGAGATTCTCTACTGTCTGAGCCACAGAGAAGAGTATCACTAAACAATAGACTTGAGAGGTTATTCTGAACAGTTACCTTTTTGTATTAGACAAGAACTGCCCAATGATTCACAGCACCAATGGCATTTTCTTTCAAAGGTCAAGTATAACTCTAAATGAAAGGCATTATATTTGTACTATCCCAAGTAAAGTAAAAGGAGAAGTACACCTAAAATTCATACCCCCAAGGAATGTTTTCAATTTCTGAGGTATCAGCAGTTTTAATCCAACCTCTCTTCAGTAGTACCAGGAAAGGCACTGTACCAGGAAAGGCACTGTGACATTTATAACCTCCAGTAATGAGTAAACTTCTAATGATGGAAAAAAAAAAGAAATGCCAGAGATGCTTGACCATAAATATATGTGTGTGTGTGTGTGTGTGATGTGTGTGTACACATACACATCACTGATTCAGAATGGGGCATTGCTCAGATCTGGATCCATTTTGACATTGAGTAAATTAACATAGGAGAAGCTACCAGAGCTGCAGTTAATGAGGAAAAACTTGTCTCAGATCATTGATTATAGAGCACAGAATATATTCATGAATATTGGAAAAACATATTAGCAAGAAGCAACGTCTGTTTCATTATGCAAATTTTTAAATTACCATCTGGTAGAATGGGATTCCACTTAAAACATTTGGAAGCCTTAGCATGGCACGGTTGACAGAGGATGTGATACGGAGTCAGAAGACGAGTTGCAGGCCTCAATGTGCGGGTGTTGACTGGTTAAACTTGGGAGGGGAGGTTATCTCATCCCTTTCCCACAAGTTTCCTTCATGGGCAAAATGGCTTAATGATACACACGTAACAGAATTATAAGAATTAAATAGGAGAATCATTTTATTGATTTATAACCTCACAAGAAGGAAATGGCAACCCACTCCAGTATTCTTGCCTAGAGAATCCGGTGGACAGAGGTGCCTGGTGGGCTGCTCTCCATGGGGTTGCAGAGAGTCAGGCATGACTGAAGTGACTTAGCCCGCATGCATGCATTGGAGAGGGAAATGGCAACCCACTCCAGTGTTCTTGCCTGGAGAATCCCAGGGACAGGGGGCCTGGTGGGCTGCCGTCTA